CATACTAGATATTAATCCTTAATTCTGTCCTTCTGATCACTCATATCCCACATACATCTACTCAGTTTCTAAATCCTGTAGATCACACCTTCCCATATACTAGTGCCTTTTCTTCTCTCAGGAGCTCTGGTGGTGCAGTGGTCAAGTGCTTAGCTGTTAACTGAGAGGTCAGTGATTCAAACCCATCAACTGCTATGTGGGAGAAAGATGTGGCTTTCTGCTTTTGTAAAGACTGCAGCCTTGGAAACCCTGTTGGGGCAGCTCTACCTTGTCCTATAGGATCACTATGAGTAAAGATTGACTCCACAGTAATGAGGTTTTTGTTTGTTTGTTTTTTAAATTGGGTCCTTCTCTTGGCTCTCACTGGTGCTGCCTGAATTCAGGCTTTTCTTTTATATCACTCGGATTCCTACATTTAATTTCAATAGTTCTCCCTACTCCAGGTCTGTATTCCCTCCATTTCACTTTTAATACTGCTCTCAGTAGCTTTCTAAAATCCAAATATGATGTCATTCTCCTGCATTATTAGATACTGCTCAACAACTTTTATGCTAAAGTTCACCTTCCTTACAGCTTTGCACACAAGACAGCCTCCTCACCTCACTAACCTCATCTCTTGCCATAGTACTACACAGACTCTGGCTTCTGCCATTTCCAACTACAGGACAGTCCCTGAATATAACATGAAGTTTCATGTCTTAGTATCATCCTGCATGCCATTTCCTTTTCATAAACTATGTTTTTTTTTTCCTTTTCATAGGCCCCATCCTCTGCGTAAACTTCCCAGACTTCCTCCCCACCCTGCCCTTCACCCTAGCCTGCCTTGTTCTCATAGTGTTTTGTCTCTCTAGTGCCACTCTAATAGACATACTACAAATTGGTGGTTTGAACAAACAGAGGTTTATTCTCTTACAGTTTAGGAAGCTAGAAGTCTAGGGGCTGGGTGAAAGCCCCTCAAACTTGGGCTTCACCTCTGCCTCTTGCTCCTGGCCCATTGGAGCTAGAGGTGTCTCTTCACTCAGACAGCTGCTGGCTGTTGAGGCTAACAAGCCCAAGGTTGACAAGTAAAATGGCACTGTCCCATGGTTATCACACACAACACGGCAGGCCATTTGTTCAAGTCAAGGAATAATCCTAAGATCAACAGACAATATGGCACACTGCTGAATGAAGACTCAACTACATTCAGGGTCCAAGCATGCCAAAAAGTTCAGAGACCTTTCTCAATGCTTCTCCTTATATACTGGAAGCAGACCACATCCCTAAGGCAGCTGCCCACCTGCTCACTGTAGATTCCACCATGGAGCTGGTTACCAGTCTCATCATGGAGAATAACAACATCCAGCTGCCCAGCCACTCAAAACCAGACCCAACCAAGTTGATACATAACCTTAACTACCACACATAGCATCTTGAGAATACTTCTTTCATGGAGCTGACTTGCCCCTCTATACTCTGAGCTCTGTAGGAAAAGACTCTGTTATATACAATTTTGTATCCCCAAAATCTAAAATTATTTATTGACTATATTAAAACATTTTGCTACCTAGATGGATATGTGTGTCTATGAGTGTTTGCATGTATGTGAGTACAGCATGATTGGAGGCATAAACGAAAAAGGAGTTAACATTTGTTGAACACTTAAATATGCCAAGAGCTATGCTCTGCTAGATACATTGTATGCATTTGTATTATGATTCCTATTTGATAAGTAACTGAAGGCAGTGGTGAAAAACAAGGTTCCAGGAATGGATGGAATACCAATTAAAATGTTTCAATAAACAGATACAATGCTGGAATGCCTACTCCTGTATGTCAAGAAATTTGGAAGATAGCTACGTGGCCAACTGACTGGAAGAGATCCATAATCATGCCCATTCCAAAGAAAGGTGATCTAACCGGATGCAGAAATTATCAAACAATATCATTAAATCACATGCAATTAAAATTTTGCTGAAGATAATTCAAAAATGGTTGTAGCACTACACTGACAGAGAACTGCCACAAATTCAGAAGAGGATGTAGAAAGAGTGATATCATTACTGATGTCAGACAGATCTTGGCTGAAAGCATAGAATACTAGACAGATGTTTACCAGTATTTTATTGACTATGCAAAGTCATTTGACTGGGTGGATCACAAATTACAGATAATGTTGCAAAGAATGGGAATTCCAGAACACTTAACTGTGCTCATGTGGAACCTGTACATAAATTAAGAGGCAATTGTTCAGGCAGAACGAGGGGATATCGTGTGGTTTAAAATCAGGAAAGTTGTTCATTGCAGTTATATCCTTTCATCATATCAATTTATGTTGAGCACATAATCTGAGAGACTGGGTTGTATGATGGAGCATGTGGCATCAGGATTGAAGGAAAACTCATTAACTACCTACGATAAGCACATGACACAACCTTGCTTGCTGAAAGTGAAGAGGACTTAAAGCACTTACTGATGAAGATCACAGACCATAGTCTTCAGAATGGATTAAAACTCAACATGAAGAAAATATTGACATTGTCAAGTATTTCATTTTACTTGGATCCACAATCAACGCCCATGGGTCAAGAATCAAATGATGCATTGCATTGGTCATATCTGTTGCAAAAGACTTCTTTAAAGTGTTACAAAGCAAAATGTTACTTTGATGACTCAGGTGCACCTGACCCAAGCCATGGTTTTTCAATCACTGCACATGCATGCAAAAGCTGGGCAATGAATAAGGAAGACCAAAGAAGAATGATGTATTTGAATTATAGTGTTGGTGAAGAATAGTGAATACATCATGGACTGCCAGAAGAACAAGTAAATCTGTCTTGGAAGAAATGCAGCCAGAATGCTCCTTTAGGAATGAGGATTGCACAACTGCATCTCATGTCATGTACTTTGGACATGTTATCAGGAGGGACCCGTCCCTGCACGAGGGCATCAAGCTTGGTAGAGGGTCAGCAAAAAAGACAAAAACCCTTAATGGGATGAGTCAACACAGTGGGCTCAAGCATGTTAATGACTGTGAGGACGGCACACGACTGGCCAGTGTTTTGTTCTGTTAGATGTAATGTTGCCATGAGTTGGAGTACCTAACGTTGTTACGTTTGACAGCACCTAACAATGGCAACAATGTGGTGCAATTTGACCCTAGGCTTGTCTGACTCCAAACTGTGGCATTTTTCTTCACCCACATTGCCTCTCAAACTACCAGAAAGGAACAGCCAGGGGGAGGAACCTAAATGCTATATTACAGGATGTTCCTTCCCTGGGATTTCTTGACTTTAGTTACTATAAAAGCCCTCATTAGTCAACCTTAGGTCATGGCACAAGGCTTTTGAGCTTCTTCAGTTCTGAAGAATACTCAGAATTGTCCATTTTTAATGTTTTTTTTTTTTTTTTCCCAGAGTTCATCTTTTTAAAACCTTATATCTGTTTTATAAGGACTCCACAAGGATTAGCAGTATATATATGCTGCAAAGTATTCTGTCTGCCTCAGAGATGTGCTGTTTAGTCACAGAATATATACTTTTTAATAGTTATTATCCATTTGTTCTACTGCAAAAGCTGCCAATTCAACAGAGCCTATGAGTTCCAGTGGGAAAATATATATGGAATGTGCTTAAGGGTGTGGGACTTCCTATGATTGTTGGAATGGAAGAAAGGCTGATAACAACAAAAAATTTCTGCCGGGACACTTGGGAGGGCTTAAGAATGGACATGGGAAAAAGACAATGAAGCCTCAGGGATCAGCTCAGATACCTTTGACTTCCATTCTCAAATTGCTGGGGCTGGGATGAAGCTGTTCCTACAGTTGAGAAGTTCCCCTAAGTTCTTGACAGCATAATTGCCTTCCTACAGAGTCTCACCAAAGCTAGCCAATGTCTTAGAAATGTTACCTCTATCAGTCATTTCAATTTTTCTTTCCTGGTGCGGGATGCCAACACAACATCCCACTGAGCTTGACTTTCCCCCCAGACTCTGAGCTTTACAGAGCAGACTCTGTCATATGCATTTTTATACCCTCAGAACCTCCGATGGCCCTTTCCCACGGTAACTTTGAGCTCATGGCTCATCTCTCAACTTCTTCTTGAACCCCACCAGAAAAAAGTGACCAAGAGAATGGTTTGGCTGTGACATCTGCTAACTCACTGATCACCAGGGAAGATTTAGCTTGTCTGCCTGGAACAGTTTTTACTTTCATTAACAAATACTTCATCAGTGCCTACTATGTGTCTGGCACTGTGCTAGGCTGGAAGGGTGCCCTCTTCTCCTTCACAGCCTCCTATACCACATCCCCCTGAAGTTGTGCACTCAGCTAAATAGAATGACCTTCCCACATAGAGAGGGTTACCCTTTGGCCAATGATCTATAAGTAGCTGCCTTCCTGGTGGAAAACCTATTAACAAGTCCCATATGTAAACATTTCCTTCCTTAATGCTTTTCAGTGTGCAATTAGAGGAAGCTTACCAAATGACCATCACCATCAAAAGTTCTGGCAGTTTGCTGAGCACATAGAAAGATAGGAGTTTGAGCATTTATCCACTGAGAAAGGTTTTTGGATTCAGGGAGAATTTGGATGTAGCTGATTTGGGTTCAATCAGATCAAAATGTAAAGTAGCCCTGGTGGTCTCTTTAGTCCTCATTCAAACTCCCATCTCAGATTAGCATTCTGAGAATAGCAGGTCAGCCAAGAGATAAGGGTATCTACTTTACATATTATTTGGTTATTTGAAAGGATATAATGTTGATGTTTTTTTTTTTTTTTCCTTTGGAATGAGAGGGAGGGCGCAAAACATATGACCCTGACATTTAAATGGCTGTGCCAAAACTTCATGCCATGTTCAAATGAGTTACTATTGAGAACAATAACAAAATCATCTTCCTTAGAGAATCTTTAAATTGTCTTCAGCCTGCAGAAGGAATAGAACACAGCTAAGAGGGAAAGCATAAGAGGGGAACCAAAGATTCTCCTGAACCATGGCCCAGGTGGCAGGTTAGATGCTAGTTACCTGAAGGCAGCACCTTGAGCACCAGCTCCTCTGATTTATCTGTTGCTTGCATGACCCACTTGCTTGGGTTTTCAAGTAGCTGCCATTCTGCCACCGTGCACCAGTACTTTCCAGCATCTTTCATCTCTACCCGATGGAGTTTCAGGACGAAGTCTGTAGGGGATGACCGGTAACAGTGCAGGTGCTTTCTCAGCCCCTCTTCACCGTACTCCAGCAAGCCATCATGCTGCAGGTGCACCAGCATTTTACTCTCAGAACTCTCAGAACTGTTCCAGTACCACATGACTGAGAACAGGGAGGTTGAGCTGCCTGAACTCTCCAGGCTGCAGTGGATGGCCACCTCCCCATGCTCAGTAGCATTTCCCGTCCAGGCCACTTTGGAGACACACACCTTATTTCCTAGGAAATAAGATGGCAGTAAGTTAGAAAGAACCCAGACTTTCAGACTGGATATCTCCTCTAGAAAATCTGCTAGTTCTCATTGGGGAGATCCCATCTTATATTCTTTAGACATCAAGTCCTTTCACCTTTTCTTTAATCCTTTGGTCTTTCTTTCATATTTGCCCCCAAAATTCTCTGCTATGAATCAACCCAGCCACTTGTCTTCTCCAATCCTACCTCTGTGGGGCTCTGCCATTGAAAACAACCAATCTACTTCCATAATGATACCGCCTCAGAAACCCAAGGAGGAGTCACTATGAGTTGAATGCAACTCAATGGCACATAAGAACAACAACTGCCCTGCTATTTTTACTTCTTGCTGGCCAACAGTTTCTCCTGTTTCCAAGGGACTGCTCAAAACTTAGGAGCTCTGGTGACGTAGTGCCTAAGGCATTTGACTGCTAACCAGAGGCTGGCGGTTCAAACCCACCAGCCACTCCTCAGAAGGATGGTTGGGCAATCTACTTCCATAGAGATACTGCCTCAGAAACCCAAGGAGGGTCGCTATGAGTCGGATCCAACTCTACGGCAATGTGTTGCGTTGTTTGCATTACTCAAAACTTGCAGCCCTCTCCTGAAGTTGCTTACCCTGGTCCCTTATTCTTAGCAAATTAGGTTCCTCCCATATACACAGATATCATCATCTCGGTATAGACACAGGGAAGGAGGGGGTTCTGGGAGACAGAACATTTTTATACAAGTGTTTGAATATCACTTGAGAGAACTATTTAGTTACTGGATCAGACAAATTTTAAAACAGATTTTGACGTTCACTTTTTTTTTGTTTGTTTTCCTGCTAACCAACAGGTGAGGACTTGGAAGGAAGACCAGAGTAGTTATAAACAAAATAAAGAAATTGTAGAGTGTTAATTTTTTTCAACTCCGTTTCAAACACATTTCTTAATCTATGTTTAAAAAACCAGCTTTCTCTAACCCTGGATTCTTTTTTCGTTATCATCTTTACTCTCCCCTTCTCTTCATAGCAAAGCATGTCAAATATTAGTGTATATGATACTGCCTCTGTTCCCTCACCTCACATTACTCCTTACTTTGTAGTGATCCAGCTTCCAACCCCATCAATATATTCTGGCAAAGTTCCCCAGCAATTTGCTACCCCAAGGGGCCCTCTAGTCTTATTTGTCCTCTCTACGGTTTTCATCACTGACATCCATTTTTTCTTAAAATTTTCTCTTCTTTTGACGTCAGAGAAAATTTCCTCTCAATAATTCTGACCAGTTCTTCTCAGTAGCTCTTCCTGGGACCTCTTCCTCAACTCACTCCTAAGCCAGAGCCAAAAGCAGCCTACACATATATATATATTTTTTTTTTTTTAAAAAGAAAGGTAAAAATCTATATAACAAAATAATTGCCATTTCAACATTTTACATGTTCAACCCAGTGACATTAATTACTTTTAACATATTGTTCAATCACAGGTTTCTTTGGCTTGACCCACTTGGTATTTTAAAAGAATTTGAATTTGTTATGAATGTTCTCAAACAGGAAAATAATACCAAAAAAGATTCTAGACATCTCTTCACATACTAAAAGATCCAACAGCACTGAGACCATATTTCTACATGGGAAGCATGGGCTTGAGTTAAGAGGTGGCTGTTCCCTTGAGAGGGGCAAGCACACACTGCCAAGATTTTGGCTTGGACAACTGGGAGACTGCAATGCCAGTCACACAGATGGAGAATACAGAAGTATGAATGAGCTTTGTGTGGTGGCAGAGATGACAACATGCAATTTGAGACATGCTGAGTTAGAGAGTCATTGGGGCATCCAAATGGAAATGGACAACAGGCAGTTGGGTATAAAGGCCTGTGCTCAGGAGATTGGGGTTAAACATAAAAACAGTTATCATCTTGAAGGGGGTAGCTGAAACCAAGGCAGTGTTTAAGAAGTTCTAAGGAAAGCAGAGAACAAGAAAAATTGGCCCAAGATCTATCCCAAGACCAAAAAACCCAAACCCACTGCCATTGAGTTGATTCAGACTCATAGCAACCCTATAGTGATCCCATAGGACAGAGCAGAACTGTCAGGGTTTCCAAGGTTGTAAATCTTTACAGAAGCAGACTGCATTTTTCTCCTGCAGAGCAGCTGGTGGGTGCAAGCCACTGATCTTTTGGTTAACAGCCCAATGCTTAAACCAGAGTGCCACCAGAGCTCCCTCTATCCCTGAGGAAAACCCACATTTAGAAAGGAGAAGCAGGGCCCTGAAGAATACGGAGGGGCAGGAAGAGAGCCTCATCCCAAGTTATTTGTTTTGTACCTGCTGTTCCCAACAGAAAGGAACTCTGGTGGCATAGTGGGGAAGGCATTTGGCTGCAATGCAGGTTAGCGGTTCAAACCTACCACCAGCTGCTTCATGGGAGGAAGACAGGACAATCTACTTCCGTAAAGATTTACAGCCTTGGAAACCCAATGGTGGTTGCTATGAGTTTGAATTGACTCCATGGCAGTGGGTTTGGCTTCCAATAGAAGGAGCTCTGGTGGTGTAGTCAGTAAGGCATTTGGCTGCTAACCAGAAGGTCAGTGGTTCAAACCTACCACCAGCTGCTTCCCAGGAGGAAGATGGAACAATCTACTTCTGCAAAGATTTACAGCCTTGGAAATCCCATGGGGGTCGCTATGCATCAGAATTGATTTGATGGCAATGAGTTTAGTTTTTGGTTTTGTGCTCTTAACAGACTGAGTTCTTAAAGGGCAAGAACTGCACCTTGTGTATCTTTGCATTCCCAGTGCCTAATATATAGTAAAGGAATCCTGATGGTGCACCAATTAAATGCTCAGCTGCTATACAAAAGGTTGGCAGTTCAAACTCACCAGCAGCTCTGTGGGTGGCAGTCTTCTTCTGTAAATCTTTACAGCCTTGGAAACCCTATGGGGCAGTTCTGTTCTGTCTTACAGGTTTCCTGTGAGTCAGAATCAACTTGACAGCAGTGGGTTTGGTTTTGGTTTTTAATATAAGGTGATGTTCAATTATAATCTTGTTTTTGATGTTACATTGAAAATAGGATTTTAAGTAACAATTTATTTGCATTGTGCTGTTGGATCTTGGCCAGTTCTTGCACCTTCTCTGTGACATTCATTTAATTTTAATCAACACTGGAGGTGACCTAACTAACGCTGAGAAGCCTAATCAACCTGGCTCACACTTAGACAGCGGCATTCTTAGGCCAATGCAAATGGATGGAACTTCTATTACATTTTTAAAGATCTCCTGAGGAAGAGGAGATTCCCTCAGCAAGCCATTCCAACAGTTAACTACTCTTATTTGCCTTATGTTTAGGCAGCCAAATGTGGAAAAGCAATTTCTCCACACATCCCTATAGGGTTGTACAGTTTCTGTTCACAGTGGGAGAAATATGCTTCGTATTACTCTTCCTCTGCCAAATTACAGTAGAGCCCCACTGGAATGACACAGCTTGTTATTACAGAGATCTGGGGATACGATACCCTGGGTAGCTGCTGAGACTAGGCTGCCAGGCTGATAAGCAAACCAATCAAAGGGACCTTGCTCTCATCCCAGCTCTCCCAAACCTCAGATTGATTCACCTTAAGTGACCTCCCCTCCTCCTCTGGTGAGCTACCAGGTCCTGCAGTCATTGTTCAGGTGGACGCTATCCTATGACTCTAGATCATGTTTTCACTACCACATAATCACTCCAAAGAGCAGCTACTCAAGAGAGAATGGCAATCCTACAGAAAGATGTGGGAGAATACACTCACAAAGTTTACCTGTGGGGTTGAGTTTCAGTTCCGTTGGTCCTGACTTCTTTCCTCCAAGCTTGTGCCAAGTGCCGTTAGTCAACAAGAGCCATTCCTCCACAGTGCAGTGGTATCTGCCCTGATCTCCAGCATCCACATTCAGAATGTGCAGCTGAAACAAGTCCTGGGAAACTTTCTCAGTGTGAAATTTTTGTTTTCTCTTTGGGGTGTGAAATTCATCCCCATATTTTATGACATTGGTTTGGTCCATTTCCAGGATCTTCAGCCAGGTTGCACTAGTAGTAATGGGGGAAAAGTACCAAATAATCACTAACTGAAGGTTTCCTGTGGACCGGGACAAGATGCTGCATTCTATCTCAGTGTTGGAGTTGATGGAGATCTCTTGGATTTGACTGCTTGAATTCACGTTTAGCTTGCTCTCTACATGAAAAGAATGGAAACAGCTATTTTTGTTACTTTCTTGAAAATAAAATTTTAAGATAAAAGGCACATTAGAAGTCAACTAGAGCAATACCTTCTACCTCCATTATGTATATGAATTCCCTCTACAGTGCCCCAGTAACTGTTCATTCAGCCTTAGAACAACTCACTGACCAAACAGCCCATCCCATCTTCGGACAGTTCTGCTACTAGAGAATTCTCTCTAATACTGAGAGTTGAATTTGATCTCTCCATAACTTTCATCCATTGGTCATACTCTGCTCTATGTATGTGTCAGGAAGGATACAGAAACCCAATCTCTTTCCTACATGGTAATCCTCCAGTATTTAAGCATGGATATTTTGCCACATTTCATGATTCAAGTTGAGAGAAAGTGGCTCTATGAATGCTTGGTCTGTGCGTTTACTATCCAGAGTACTTTAGATTCACAATTTGCCAAAGTCTAGTCATATCTGCCTTTAAACATGGGAAAACAAAAGGACATTGTATATGGGCTATTAATATTGTATGTCTCTTTGTAACCACTCAACTGTGGGAACATCATATGGATAGAGTCAACTATCTTTTAACTCCAGCAGCTTTTCTGCTTGGTCAGAAAGATGAGTGATAAAACCTGCTTCTAAATCTTATTCTAACTTCTCACATTACTGATTTTATTTTTTGTAACTGCACATTGATATTGTCAGTAGGTCTCTTTACTCTTCCTTCAACAGAGATTTATTAAGCACCTACTATGCTATGTAGCAGAGTATTCCAGGCTTTGTTGATACCTTCCTCAACAGGCTTACAGAAAAGAGAGAAAGACAAGGATAGGAACAGATGTTAGAGATTACAGCACAGTGTCACCTGTGCGGGACAGAGGTATGCAGAAGTGGTTATCAGAGCACATAGAAGAACCACCTAACCTACATATGAAAGGGAGGGGGAACTCCCTGAAGAGGTAACTCTGAACTAAATCTTAAGGGTTAACAGGATTTAGTCTGATAAAGAGGAGATTAAGGAATTCCAGAATAATAATAATAATAAGACTTAACAAAGACTTTGAAAGTGAGAAAGAACATGGGGTTTGAGGAACTACAAGTAATTCAGTGTGATTGGAGCCCAACTTCACAATGAAAAGTAGAAGAGATGATACTAGAAAGATGTAAAGGTATTGGGTTATAAAGGACCTTGCATACTGTGATAGTTAAGCTTGTGTGTCAACTTGGCTGGGCCTGATTGAGTGCCTGGGCAGCTGGATGTAGTTATTTCCCATGGTGAGACTGGTAATTAACTCCATGGTGGAATTTACTGGAGCAGCTGAGTAGGTGCTTTAAGGATGTAGTCTGCTTCCAGTATATAAGAAGCAGCTTTGAGGAAGGTCTCCAGCTTTTTGGCATGCTTAAACCCTGCATATGGCTCAGTCTTCGTTCAGCAGCCTGCCACGCTCTGCTGATCCTGGGACTTTTAATGGACTTGAATCAGTGGCGTGCTGTGTGGTTTGGTAATATCGGGACTGTGCCTTTTCACTCGTCAACCTTGTGTTTGTTAGTCTCAGCAGCCAGCAGCTGTCTGAGTGAAGAGATGGCTCTAGCTTCAGTGGGCCAGGAGCAAGAGGCAGAGCTGAAGCCTAAGGTTGAGAGGCTTTCACCTGGAGGAGTCTGGCACCTGAACTGAGACTTCTGACCTCCAAAATTGTAAGTGAATAAACTCCTGTTTGTTAAAACCATCCTATTTGTGATATTTCTGTTAGAGCTGGACTAGGTAACCAAAACACATACCATGCTATGGGATTTTTGGAAATAAGATGGCCATGGAGGCTGACAGAAAAGGAGTTGTGGATGATTCAGGTTTCCAACTTGGGTCACTGGTGGATGGTGGGGACATAGGGAATAATGGAGGAGCAGTAGATTTTCAAGGATAATAATGATGGGTTTATGTTTTGACATGTTGAGTGAGACATATCCCAGAAGCAGTTGGATATAAGTCTGGACATCAGAAGAGAAGTCTTTATGGGATAATAGATTTAGCAATTGTTAGTATATATAGATAGAATGAGAAGAGAGCAAGTTAAGGATGACACCCAAAGGGACAGTTTTCTTTAAAGAATGAATCAGTGAAGGAAGAGAAGTCTAAGAGGAATGAAAAGGAACCACGCCTTGGGTTTCTGAGGCAATATCACTATGGAAGTAGATTGCCCAACTTTCTTTCTGAGGAGTGGCTGGTGGATTTGAACTGCCAGCTTTCTGGTTAGCAGTCAAGTGCCTTAAGCACTATGCCACAAGACCTCCCATTATCAATTCACAACGTAGATTATATTTGACTATAATCGTGAATTCTCTGACTCTTGGAAATTAAAAATAAAGTAGATAATGTATTCTAATGGAATTTATATTATCCATACCACTAGGAGAACCACTCCAAATGTTTAATAACTGGTAAGGCATAGGCCATGACTAATCAGAAGATATGTCTTACAACAGTAACAGTAACAGCATCTCAGAGGCTACTATGCCACACGTTACCCTTTAGTTGCTGGGTTATGGGAACTTATGCAAAGACAGGAAAGTGACACAGAGCAACAGTTATTAGCCACTGTAAAAGTATTTCAATATTTTAACAACCTGTATAGTCATGGTGCAGTTAAATGCTTTGCTGCTAACTGAAAAGCTGACAGTTTGAACCCACCTAGTGGCTCTCCAGGAGAAAGTCCTGGCAATCTGCTTCCATAAAGACCACAGTGAAGAAGACCCTGTAGGGTTGCTACGAGTTGAAATTGACACAACAGCACTCAGCAACATGGCCATTCTATGCATTTTAACTTAATGTTAGCTAGGATACACTCATCATATAGTACTTACTATATAGTACATACTTGAGGAGAAAGTATTTTATATTTTATTTTTGTAATTTATCCAAAGTGAAGGATGTTAATCAAAAGCCCAGTTGCCGTTGAGTTGATTTCAACTCACAGCAACATGTATGTCAGTGCTCCATAGGGTTTTCAATGGTTGATTTTTTTGGAAGTAGGTCACCAAGACTTTTTAACCAAGGTACATCTGGGTTAACTTGAACCTCCAACCTTTTGCCTAACAGCTGAATACATTAACTATCTGCAGCACCCAGAGATGCCAATCAAAAACAAACAAACAAAGAAAAATGGGGATTGATTTCAAGTGGAGCTTACTTGGTAAAGTAATGGCTATCCTCAGTGGGTGAGAGACAATAGTAGCCTTCACAGGGCTGTTTGTTTGTAGAGAATTTCTGTCATAAACTTCCACTTTACACTGGTAGACTCCTGACTCTTCCTCTGTGGCATCATGGATGAGGAGTTGAGAACGAAACGGAGACTGTGAAACCTTTGTCTTCTTTTGGAACTGGGAGAGGAAATTCCCCCATTCAATGGTACCATTATGGGTGATTTGAATAAGCTGATAAAAGACTTGAGACCTGGCTGGCTGGAACTGCCATGTCACCGTGAGTGGTACCTTGAGATCAGAGTAGTCGGCACTCACTATGCAGGACAGGTCAAAGGTGTCAGTTAATTTCACTTGTGGCTGACGGCTCATCAGACTAACTTGTAAACTTGATTCTGCAAGCAGAAATGCAAGACACAATTTCTAATATGTTTAACACATCAAAGTACAGTACTTTTGAGTTTTCCTACTCACTACCTCTTCACAGTGAACCATGCATTTGTATTCTTGGATTATCATTTATTTTGGGGTAGAAGTTAATTCACAGTACAGTCTGTCCTGAATTCTGACCTCAGTTTTCCAAAGTTGACCCGCTCCTAGGACTGTTCTCAGCAGCGACAACAAATAGGCAGTGTTTCTGCAGTCTGTTGCTTGGACAGCTGCTGCTGAGTGGGTGGAACACACCCCAGCCCCAGTGGTCTGGCTTCCTTCCTTCATCCCCCCTCATGGCTTCAGTATCAGATTCTCTTGCATATGCTACAAGAGACTGCAGTCTCAGGGCTGCAGCTGTCAAAAGCCAGAATGGGGAAGGCTCAGCTACCAAACCTACTTGGCACATCTCTTCTACAAATTGCCTCTGGTTGATAGGACTTGATAGCACTTAACTGTTTGCATGATGACTATGTTGTTGTTATGTGTCATCGAGTCAGACGTGACTCATAGCAACCCCTCCTTGGGTTTCCGAGGCAGTATCAGTACAGAAGTAGATTGCCCAACCTTCCTTCCGAGGAGCAGCTGGTGGGTTTGAACCGCCAACCTTCTGGCTAGCAGTCAAGCGCCTTAGGCACTATGCTACCAGAGCTCCTCACCATGACTATACAAGTTGTTAAAATATTGAAATACTTCCACACTAGCTAATAACCATTGCTCTATGTCCCTTACCTGTCTTTCCATAAGTTCCCATAACCCAGCAACTAAAGGGTAACATGTGGCATAGTAGGTAGCCTCTGAGACCCAGTTACTGTTACTGTTGTAAAATATCTCTTCTGATTAGTCATGGCATGTGCCTTACCAGTTATTAAACATTTAGAGTGGTTCTCCTAGTGGTATGGGTAATATAAATTCCATTAGAATACATTATCTACTTATTTTTAATGTGTTCATGTTTTATTTTCAGCCCTTCAACAGCAAAGTACAAGTGGTCTAAAGATGATCATTCTAAAGATGACCTAGGAGCTCTGGTAGCATAGTGCCTAAAGTGTTTGACTGCTAGCCAGAGGGCTGGTGGTTCAAACCCACTGGCCGCTCCTCAGAAGGAAGGTTGGGCAATCTACTTCCGTAGTGATACTGCCTTGGAAACCCAAGGAGGGGTCATTATGAGCCGGGTCTGACTCGATGGCCCATAACAACAACAACAAAGATGATCTTTCTAAAGACGAATAAACTTCAGAGATTAATTGGCAGACATGGTAGCCACAGACTACCCTGTGTGTTCCTGGGGCATGCATACCATTGGAGAATTCAAGATGACACACAACAAAATCATAATTCCTCTGCTAAATAAGGTGACTGGTATACAAGTTCAGAAAAGGATTTCTTTGACACTTACCTAAAGGTTTTACAGTGACCAAAATCTTCTGAGTCCAGCTCAGATCTCTGGCCTGGTTCTGAGTCTTCTCAGACACTCTGCACTCATAAGTCCCACTGTCAGTGATGGCAGTGGAGGTGATATCCAGCTGGAAGGTAGCCCAGTCCACCTTCTCCAACCTTATGTTGCCATAGTTACTGGTTCCCCCATAGGAGGGACTCAACTGCATGGTGCCATCCCGCCCCATGCCAGCCACGAACTCTGGCTGTGTCTGGTCCAGTGGGAAGTGCCACCAGCTCACTGACAGAGGACTTTCATCTCCGCCAGCCTTGCAGAGGAGGGTTAGCGCTTCTCCTTCCCATACTGCCTGCTGCTTGTTCTTGGTGGACAGGCCCACACTTCTGGCTGTGGGTTAGAGTTGAAAAGAGAAACCTCTCAAGTAAATGAAAAATTTTCTAATATACAGTGAAATCCCATTAATTAGGACTTGACTAGTTTGTGACAAATCAGACCCAGGTATGTCCCTCTGCACCACCCCTAGAAATAGAGACCTGTCCAACACTTAGATAGGGAAAATAAGACAGCAGAAAATAATATCAGGAGAGTCAATTTATACTTAATTTGTAATTTTCACTTATTGTATGTATTTGTTAAATCAACCCTTAAGAACACCTAGTTGGAAAAACATTTGGTATTATTTTGTTACATTAATTAGGGTGGGTGTGTGAACCTAAAAGTAACAAAGCTGTGTTTATTTAAATTTTTAGTTCTTTAGATGTCAGACTGTCACAATTCTAAATGAACTGCCTCTCCCTCCTTGCCTTTCCCTAATAAATCCTAATTAGTATGTATTTTGAACAGGGTAGGGACTTTGTTCATTAGATCTCTGTACTAGTATAACTGTTGTTGTTATGTACAGTCGAGTTGGACCTGACTCATAGCAACCCCTCCTTGGGTTGCTGAGGCAGTATCACTACAGAAGTAGATTGCCCAACCTTCCTTCCGAGGAGTGGCTGGTGGGTTTGAACCACCAGCCTTCTGGTTTGCAGTCAAGTGCCTTAGGCACTACACTACCTGAGGCAATCTACTTCCATAGTGATACTGCCTCAAAAACGCAAGGAGGGGTCACTATGAGTCACATCTGACTTGACTGCAGTGAGTACAAGTATAATACTATCATGAAAAACAATTACTTGAGGGGATATGTTTATATATCATGACAGAACCAATCTTAGTGGATTTTGTAGAAGTTCTGGGATAAATGGTTAACATACTTGGCTGCTAACTGAAAGGTTGGAGGTTCAAGTCCACCTAGGAGTGCCCTGGAGAAAAGCCTGGCCATCTGCTCCCAAAACATCAGTCATTGAAAACTCTATGGAGCACACTTCTACTCTGACACACATGAGATTTCCATGAGTTGGCATGGACTTTGTGGTAACTTGTTTGGTTTTTATTGTGTTGAGAGGACTACACAAATGACACATGTAAAGGGCTTAGTCTGTGGCATAAGGAACGTAGTTAGTAAAGGTTAGCCATTAGCATTAGTATTGAATGATAGGCAGTAGCAAAACCAGAGGTAGTTCAGTGCCAAAAAAAGAAAAACAAAACAGAGCTAGTATAAGAAATCTAAAGAGGATCTATATGAATTTGCCTATTGTTTTTCCATGCTAGGGAAGGAGTTCAGTCTTCAACTGTTTTATACATCAAAACAAACTCCAAACTCACTGCCGTCAAGTTGGATCTGACTCATAGTGACCCCTCCTTGGGTTTCTGAGGCGGTATCACTATGGAAGTAGATTGCCCAACCTTCCTTCTGAGGAGTGGCTGGCAGTCAAATGCCTTAGGCACTATGCCACTAGAGCTCCCGTTTTATACATACATATATATAAATTACAAAGGCAGAATGGAGTTAAATGTCCTCAAATAGGTTAAAAAAATTGAGCAAAATCCCTTTCCAATTTTCAGATTGCAAAGGCATGATTATATTTTTAAAAATTAAGATAAAAATAGGCTCACATTACTGAAGTTCAGACATTAGAGGAAAAATTATTACTCATAGTCTCACCATGTTAACATAACCACTCTGTTTAGTCTCAACTAACGTCTTTTTTTTTTTTATAATGAGGTTTTCTTAGTTCATTGTGGTCATTACTGCCTCTTGGTAAAAAGTAATAAACTTACCAAGTGTGTGCAAATTATACTTTCACAAAGGTAGTTAGTACCACCTTCTGTTACAACATCCATAAAATATTGAAATGACAAAATGCTGCTCATACTTCAAGTATAGGAGCTCTGGTGGCATAGTGTCTAAGGCATTTGACTGCTAATTAGAAGGCTGGCAGTTCAAACCCATCAGTCACTCTGTGGAAGGAAGATCGGGCAATCTACTTCCTTAAAGATTTACCACCTTGGAAACCCAAAGGGGGTCTCTATGAGTTAGAATCGACTCAATGGCAGTGAGTTTGGTTTTTTGGTTTACTTCAAGTAATGGTTTGACATTTAAAACAGAATCCTAAACAGGATGCACAATAAATTTGCTAGCAGCTTTTCCTATTTTTACATATTAGGGCTTGTTTGGATTCCAGCCTACTAAAAGAACTATTTTGAACTTTGGAAGACAATCCTACTGATAGGCTTATGACCTGTGCACCATGAGAAACACCTCTAGATCCCATTAGCACAAATTCCTATGTATTGTGTTTAAGAAAATTTTCAGATCTGTTCCAGGAGTGATTGAGATTCATTGAAGCAGAGATGTAGCTTTGTGTAAATATGTAAACCTACCCACATAGTTTTTCCTGAATCCTAGAAAGCTGAACCAAATGTTTACTGTGAAATCTAACACCAACACACTTCCTAGCCTGCCACTCTAGGCCAATACTTGTGTCTTCATTCTTGGCAATGGAGTGACAGAGATGAACCTGAAAGGGAAATTGATCTTCAGAGATACCTCCAGTAAGCAAACACAAGAAGAAATTCTTTCCTTTTAGTTTAGTTTTTCTTTTTTGCTTTTAGGCAACCCCCCCCCCCCAAAAAAAAAGAAAATCTTTATAGATATTGAATTTAACACCCAGCCCATAGAATCCTAATTATTCATTGTAAGTTTGTGTGGTGGTTAAATTTGTGTGTCAACTTGGCTGGGCCTGGTTGAGTGGCTGGGCATCTGAATGTAGTTATTCCCCATCGTGAGACTGGTAATTAACTCCATGGTGGAATTGGAGCAGCTGAGTAGCTGCTTTGGGTATGTGGTCCACTTCCTGTATATAAGAAATAGCTTTGGAAATGGTCTCTAGTTTATGGCACGCTTGAATTCTGCATGTGGCTGTGTCATTATTCAGTAGCCTGCTATGCTCTGCCAACCTTGGGACTTTCAATGGACTTGAATTAATGGCCTGCCATGTGGTTTGATAACATCGGGACTGTGCCTTTTTACTTGTCAACCTTGGGCTTGTCAGTCTCAGCAGCCTGCAGCTGAGTGAAGAAAAGCCTCCAGCTGCAGTGGGCCGGGAGCAGGAGGCAGAGCTGAAGCTCAAGGTTGAGGGGCTTTTACCCAGTCCCTAGAGCCTGGCACTTTGAATTTGGGCTTAAAGCCTCCAAACTGTAAGAGAATAAACTCCTGTTTGTTAAGGCCATCCCATTTATGGTATATTACTGTCAGAGTGGCACTAGGTAACCAGAACATTTTGTTTTCTGCCCACATGAAAAGCACTATTATTTGAATGTATTCATGGTTAGCCAACCTTAATCAACTAAAGGGGCTTTCACATTTCCCTGCATATAGAAGCCCAGAACCATTTTGGACAGGCATCTCACCACATCCCAGCAAAATGCAGAGAATAGAGTCTACCCATTATCATTTATCTCTTAATTTCATACTCTGAGTCATACTTTGATGAAGAATTATGAGTAAGTATTCTCATATTAGGATAGGATAATAGAGGTTTAACAAAAGGTAATTGAAAGATACCAGCCCAATCTCGAAGGGGTAATGTGATGTTTATTCCCCAGAAGTGTGACAAAGTATATATATATAGCTCTTTCTCTTAACCTACACATATATACACACAAAGGAAGACAAAACCTTTCATTAACAAAAGAGACAGAAGGTTTCATTAATATAGTTGCTCTCTGCTTTAAGAAAAACTCAATGTATAAAACTTAGAAAATAACAACAAATATATAGAATCAAAGATTTTAAGACAGCAAGAAGCAGCTTCCAAAACCCCAAACCCACTGCTATGGAGTCGATTCTGACTCATAGCAACCCTGTCGGGCAGGGTAGAACTGCCCCATAGGGTTTTCAAGGCTGTAAATCTTCACAGAAGCAGACTTCCTCATCTTTCTCTCACAGAGCAGCTGGTGGGTTTAAACCTCTGACTGTTTGGTTAGCAGCTGAATGCCTTAACCACTGTACTATGAGGGCTACTTAAGAAGGGGTTTAGGGGCCATCTAATTGTGTGCCCACCATTTTATAGATAAAGAAACAGATTTAGAGTGGGCCTATGATGACAGCCAGTTAATGGCTTAGGAATAGGACACAGGCCTCCAGACTGTGAGCTTGAATACTTTCTTTTTTAATCCACTTCACCTTAAATGTGATCTGATGAACACTTAACAATTCAGGAAGACCTTCACTGTGTCCAGGAAGTCATTCTGTACTGACACGGGAGGGGATCTGCAAGCTGCCCAGTGCATATCTGGTCCAGGCTTCACATACCTGCAGGTTTCCTCAGTTGCACATGGCTGTCTGGTGACTGCTTCCTCTGTAGCACCTGCCAAGAGCCCATCTGAGCTCTTTCCACCTCCGCCACTACACATTTGTAAGTGCCTTCATCCTCTGGGCCCACAGAGAAGATCTTGAGAGAGAAAGCCTTGGCGCTTAACTTTGAAACCTGCAGCTGTCCTTGGCTCATTCTTTCTTTGTAGTCCTTCTTCAGGCCCAGTACCCCACCAGCATCAATGCTGGCAATTTCAATATCATTAAAGAACCAAGTGCCCTGAAGCTGGGGGTCCCGGCCACTTCCCACCACCAGGCACACCAGTTCTAAGGGTTTTCCTTCAGCAAATGTGCTCTCAGCTGTCATGGTGACTTGAAAATCTCTCACTGGGAAACAAAAACACGGGAGGCAGTTAGAGGGGATACTCCATGTGTCTTTCCAGTAACAGAGAGGATACCACAGGGGATCACATTTCATGTGGGAATAGAATTGAGTTCTGATGTGGCAGGCTGATGTATGCAAGCTGAACAGATATGGGAAGGCAAATAGGACTACACTTATTAATATATATAGGTTTGACAGAGGATATTTCTACATATTTGTATGTGCTGCAAATATATCCGTATTGTTGTTGTTGTTATGTGCCATTGAGTTGACCCCAACTCATAGCGACCCCTCCTTGGGTTTCCAAGGTGGTATCACTATGGAAGTAAATTGCCCAACCTTCCTTCCGAGCAGTGGCTGGTGGGTTTGAACTGCCAGCCTTCTGGTTAGCAGTCAAGTGCCTTAGGTACTATGCTACTAGAGCTCCTATCTGTGTAATAGAGCGAAAAACAGTACAAAGTTACGAAGACTTCTCGGCCTTAACCAAACACCTTGAGGAAATGAGATGCTGGGCCTGGGGCCTCAGGAGCATAGTCTTGGGGGACATAAAGATTAATTGCATAACATAGTCTACAAAGACAATTCTACATCCTACTTTGGTGAGTAGTGACTAGGGTCTTAAAAGCTTGTGAGTAGCCATCTAAGGTGCAGCTATTGGTCTCTCTCCATCCAGAGCAAAGAGGAGTGGAGAAAATCAAAGAATCAAGGAAATAATTAGTTCAAAGGTCTAATGGATCAAATGAACCACAGCCTCCAATAACCTGAGATCAGAACTAGATGGTACCCAGCTACCACTACTGACCATTCCGATTGGGATCACAATACAATGTCCTGAATAGAGTGGGAGAAAAATGTGGAACAATAGTCAGAATCATAAAAAAGACCAGGATCACTGGTCTGACAGAAACTGGTTGAACCCTCAAGAAGAGGACTCTTAGACACCCTTCAAGCCTGAAACTAAACTCACCTCTGTGGATCAACCTTCAGCCAAAATATAGATAGGCCTATAAGAGGAACAGTAACACCAGGGAGGTATGGACTCCTTAGAACAATGAACCACACAAAACCAAAAGGGCAGCATTTGCCAGGGACAAAGTTCAGAAAACCAGAAGGGACACAAAAGAAGGATGAATGGAAACAGTAAACACAAGGAGGAAGTGGGAAGAGTGCTATTATATTGTGGGGATTGCAAAGAATATTACGAAACAAAATATCTGATTTGTTGAATGGAAAACTAATTTGCTTTCTGAACGTTTCACCCAAATCATAATAAAGAGTTAAAATAAAATGCTGCTACTCTCAGCACTCTCATTCCCCTTTCCTGTTTTATTTTTCTCCATATTGCTTATCAACATGTGACTTACTATGTATTATTCTTATTTTATTGTTTGTTATTTGTCTCCTCTTTTAGAATTTAAGCTCTCTCAGGGCAAGAATTTTAGTGTGTTTATTCATGGTTGTATCTCCAGTTAATAAATGTTTATTCAAAGAATGAAAAGGAAAAATGCAGAGTCAAAAATGCCCCTAGTTATTCCTTAAATCACCCAGAAAGAACAGAGTATGTTGCTTTCTGAATGCAACCCTATTAAGCAATGTATTTGTTTAAAGACCTCTTTACAGTGTTAAAAAAGCAAAGACGCTCCTTTGAGGACTAAGATGCACTTGACCCAAGCCATGGTATTTTCAGTGACTTCACATGGATGTGAAAGCTGAACAATGAGTAAGGCAGACCAAAATTGATACATTTGAATTACGGTGTTGGGGAGGAATATTTAATATACCTTGGACTGCTTGGAAGAAGGACAGCTAGTATGCTCTTTAGAAGCAAGGATAGCGAGACTTTGTCTTATGTACTTTGGACATGTTATCAGAAGGGATAAGTCCCTGGAGAAGGATATTATGGTAGGTAGAGGATCAGTGTAAAAGAGGAAGACCCTCTATAAGATGGATTGACACAAAGGCTACAACGAGTTCAAACATGATAACGATTGTAAGGATGGCATTGGACCAGGCAATATTTCATTCTGTTGTACATAAGGTCACTATGGCTCAGGACCAACTCCAGAGCACCTAACATGGCAATGTGTAAAGTATGTGTAAAGTATATAGTGACGCATTTTTTTCCTTTTTTGTGGTATATATCATTTTATTTTATTTCTTTTTACTGTATTGCATATATAGATTTCAAAATATATTTTATTGTGGTTTAGGCGAAAGTTTTCAAAGCAAATTAGTTTCCTATTCAGCAATTTATACACAGATTGTTCCATGATATTGATTGGTATCACCACCATGTGTCAGCAGCATTTCCACCTTGGGTTCCCATTTCCATTTGACCAGTTTTCCTACCTACTTAACATTGTTTTTTGGGCAAATGCTGTCCTTTGGTCTCATATAGTTGATTTTTCTTAAGTTCTGCAGTTTTTAATTTAAAATTATATAAAATACTTTCTACTATGTTGAATTGCTTAACCATGATTTCTTACACTTTTTTGGCTGAGAATATTCAGTGGAACTTTCCTAAGTTAAAAGTATGTGTCCTCATAGTATGAACTCTAAAAGAGTATGCATAAGGTACAAGTGAATACATAGAATTTCTGTCCAAATAGTTGGATAATAATGATGCCTCTCTTATGGATGGGAGCTCTGGTGGTGTAGTGCCTAAGGCATTTGACTGCTATTCAGAAGGCTGGTGGTTCAAATCCACCAGCCACTCCTCGAAAGGATGATTGGGCAATCTACTTCCATAGAGATACAGCCTCAGAAACCCAAGGAGGGGTCGCTATGAGTCGGAACTGACTCAGCGGCGGTGAGTTCAGTTTGGTTTCTATCATGGATTAACAGTTTTGGATTTTAGCATAGTGCCTAAGGCACTTGACTGCTAACCAGAAGGCTGGCGGTTCAAACCCACCAGCCACTCCTCGGAAGGAAGGTTGGGCAATCTACTTCCGTAGTGATACTGCCTTGGCAACCCAAGGAGGGGTCGCTATGAGTCGGGTCCGACTCGATGGCACATAACAACAACAACAACAATAACAGTGTAGTGTAATTCAAAGTAAATGATTCTTGAGCCCTGTCTGGGGAACTGAGGTGTATACTTTTTCATAATGTTATGATAGTCAAAGAGCCAAAGTATTATTCTGGCTGCTAATAAGATGACAAATCAATTCTTAAAAAGTGAAAGAAATCACTAATTTTTTTTCCTATTAGTAAGTTACTCAATTTTTTTATTATTATTATTTGAGTGGTTGATTTTTGTCTCATCATAAGTTAATTTGCTGATTTGATCAAAATCTTGAAATTACAAGTGAGCTTTTATACAAAAATGATAAATAGTCCTTGACTTACAATGGAGTTCCATTCCAACAATTCTGTCATAAATTGTTTTTGATGTAATTCAAATACTTATTTTTTTTTCCTTTTGTTTTCATTTGAAAACACAGTAATGTTTGGAACAGTAAATCATAAAATTGAACATCTGCAAGTGAACATCTGAGAATGATAACATCAGCAAATTATGTGCTATAACATTGTATGCAGTGTGTATGACTAATGAAAAGATACATAGGAAAAAAAGGATGGTCACAAGTGCAGTTCATCATAACTCAAACACATCGTAAGTTGGGGACTACCTGTACACCAAAATATAAACCAATAAAACATGATTTAAGAAATTTTTTAAAAGGACATTAGGAAACTCCATAGGACTCACTGAGTGTAACTTGGCCACTTGAGGCCAACAGGACAATTTTTAACAGAACAGAATACTCTTTAAAAAGAAAGAAAAGTTCCATGATCCACCACATGTACGCTTTTAGCAATTCCTTCCTACTAGACCGAAGCCTATGTAGAAACATTAGGAATCACAGTCTAGTACTTTCTGCTTATTCTGATGAAAATGTCAATAAACTGTGAAGAGTGACATCATTCCAAGTTGGAAAAGACGTCAGGTGGGAGGAAGTTCCAGCATGGATACAGATAATACTTCATGGTAGATACTTGAGCTCTTTTGAGGCCCAAGTGTCACTGCAGTGAGTGGGCTTTGCAGGGAGATAGATTGGGCTTTGACTGTCAGCTTCTCTTCTCACCAGCTGGGTGAGCTTAGGCAGAGCATCTAGCACATCTGAGGTTCAGGTTCCTCATTTCAAGAAGTAGGGGAGTTAACAACTGAGGAATGGATAACCAAACTTTGGTACATTCACACAATGGAATACTATGCAACGCTAAAGAATAATGTAGAATCTGCAGAACACCGCATAACGTGGATGAACTTGGAGGACATTATGCTGAGCGAAATAAGTCAGTCACAAAAGGACAAATATTGTATTAGTCCGTTATTGTAAAAGTTAAGGAAATGTTTATATATTGGAGGACATTTTCTTTGTTGGTTACCAGGGGTGGGAGGGAAGGGGAGGGAATGCTGTTAGATAGATAAAGATAAATATTGATTTGGGTGAAGAGAAGGGCAATGTACCAAATGTGAGTGACCAATATGGCAGCATTGAGGATGAGAAAGACAGAGAGAGTTACATGGGCAGTACAAACAACAAATATGAACCCCTTTGTAAATACAATACTGAGTTGTTAATGAAAGCAAATATGGGTATAGGGACGGATAGATGGGTGAACAAGCTAAACAATTATGTATGTCTAAATGGAGAGTGTATCCAAGATCATATACAGGGTTGCCAGAAAATGGGCCTCTCGAAGAGTATGAAGGGATGGACACTGGGAGGAGGTAACTATGGGGAGGAAGTGGGAGGGGAGCTGCTGCATTGTAAATTTTGGTCAATGACATGAGACAAAGTATATGTGAACTGCTGTATGAAAAGTGAATTTACTCTGTAAATCTTCACCCAAATCCTAATAAAAAAAAAAAAAAAAAGAAGAAGTAGGGGAGTTGACTAGTCACCTCACAGGGTAGCTGTACTAGACAATACATACTTTTATCAAAATACTTACACAGAGCCCGTCAGAATGGTAACAAAACTTAGGTCAATGACTGGCTTGTAGAATCAATCTAATAATTTATTATAATAGATTTGGTCCCATATAACCACCACCCATCTGTCAGTTTATTGCACGGAAGTAGCTTGTGTGTTGCTATGATGCTGAAAGCTATACCACTGGTATTTCAAATACCAGCAGGGTCACCCATGGTGGAAAGGTTTCAGCAGAGCTTCGTGACTAAGACACACTAGAAAGAAAGGTCTAATGATTTATTTCTGAAAATCAGTCAATGAAAACCCTATGGAGCACAATAGAATACTATCGATATAGTGTTGGAATATGAACCCTCTAGGTTGGAAGGCACTCAGAATACACAGTGGCTGCAGCAATGAACTTGAGCATTCAGCAGTCATGAAGACATGCAGGACCAGGCAATGTTTCATTCCATTGTGAATGGGGTCACTATGAGTTGGATCTAACTCAAGGACAACTAGCAACAACAACATTCTGTATAAAACCTCTCATGAACAAAGACAAAACTGAAGGCTTTTTTTTTCAGTTATAGTTCCTAAATGGCAAAAACAAAATTTACTTAAACTTTATAGACAGTTTTTTTAGAGATCAGGAAAAAAAAAAAAAAGATATCTCATAAATACCTAGTCCAAAACCAAACCAAACTCACTGCCGTTGAGACGGATCCAACTCATAGTGATCCCTCCTTGGGTTTCTGAGGTGGTATCACTAGAGAAGTAGCTTGCCCAACCATCCTTCCAAGGACTGGCTGGTGGGTTTGAACCACCAGCTTCTGGTTAATAGTAAAATGCCTTAGGCACTACACAACCACAGTGTATTAATGAATTTCCCAAGAAGATAAATTACCTTCAGGCTGGACCTTCAGGGTTGTTTGATCTGTTTGCTTTTTAGTGATAAAAGTCCAGGTTTCATCTGGATCCTGAATCCATTCAATTGCCTCACAGAACAGCTGGCCTTGATCTGAGGGCTTCAGTCTCCCTATGGACAGTCTGAAGGTGGTGACCCCAAGCTTGTCAAGCCGCACTTCACCTGCTATAAACCTCTCTGTGTAGGAGGGTCCAGGGATCAACATGAAATCTCTGGAGAGGGAAATAATCTTGGTGGCTTGACTTCTTCCTCCCTCCTGTATCACGTACCAGGTGACAGAGAGGTGGGTATGTTGAGCTGTGGCTTTGAATGCCTCACAGATAAGTTCTAATGGCTCACCTTCCTCCTTATTCAGAGTCTGGGAACTCATGATGGCAGATAGAGTATCTGGAATAACTGGAAACAAAGGAATGATGTTAATATGACCTGCACAGCACTTAGCAGACTAACCTCCTTAAGTGAAGATGGAGCCCTGGCCAGCTGTAAAGCATATACTTTGAGTTGATTTCCCAGTAGCCATATGCTTTCCCTATCACCAATAGAATCACTGACATCTGTGTACAGTCTATGGCAACTTGGCAAAGCTAATGGCTCAATGAAGTATTGACCCTGAATTTGCTTCATTAGCATATAGTGTAACCAATTTAGTTAATCAGACAGTATTTAAAAGTGAAAAGCACTGGGAGCTAGAAGACATAGATTCCCATCCTAAATCTGTCCCTACTGGACTATGTGAACTTGGGTAAGTCACTTAACATTCCTGGGTCTTCACTTGCTCCTTTATAAAATAAAGTTCTGAAATAATCTGTTTTGATTTATGATTTGTAGCCAAAATGCAATCCTTACCAAAGTTTTGGAAACCATCCTATTACTCTACCATTCTCTCCTTCTTCCTCCAGTGAAATTGCAGAGCCTAAGCTTATGTTATAGCAATGCTTCAAATTAGTCAATGAACTTTTATTAAGGACCTACTCAGTGTTTGCTGAGGAACTGAGATAAACTTTCTGTTCCCAAGGAGCTCAGGGTCCTCAGGAGAGGGGCATATAAATAGCCAGTTACCACATAACTGGGTAAGTGTTAATAATAGCAGTATTAATGGAACATCAAGAGGAAACAAATGTGGGAATACCGTCCAAAGCAGTCAGAACAAGTTCCACAGAAGATGTAATATCTGAACTGGGTTCTGAAGTACATGTAGGAGGTTGGTATTCTGACCAAGGAGTGACAGATATTCCAGGCAAAGGGACAGAATGACTTTTGCAAGGACTGTGGCCCTCTCCACATAAGTAAATATGCTAGAGCATGGTTGTTTGTAAATAATCAGTTCCACGTTAATGACTAAGATATCAATACCAGGTCTCTTATGTCAATGTTCAGTCCCCAAGAAGACACATAACATGGGGAGAACTCTCAAAGCTTTGTCTAGTACTGTTGTTATCAAACTATAGATGGCTGTGGACAAGGTATTGGAAGACTACACACTATCTAAATTTTCATGGCAAAGATGATTAGTTAAAATGATATGACAATTTTAGAAAATACGAGATACCTATTTATGGCAATTCCCCCAATTATCCACAGGGATATATAGGTTCTTTTGCCAAAGCAAATGGAACAATACAGAGTCATGCCACATTGCAAGGCATTGTGATGGTGGGGACCCTAGCTTCTCAGGGGCTCATTAGCAGAAAAAGGCAAACAGCTTACCGGTTAGATTTGTCTTTGCACTGTAACTTCCAAAGTATTTTCCATCAGTGTTAGGTGTGTGACACTCATATTCGCCAGCATCCGCCATCTTAAGTTTTGAGATGTGCAAAAAGACTGAGTTGCCCTGGACCCTCTCCACATAGATTTCCCGGCTTCGCACCCGCCGTGTATATAATGCATAGGAGAAGCTTCCATCCTTGGTGCTAACAATCTGGACTTCCTGTTCTGGGGCTGTCGGCAGGTAAATAGACCACTGGAAGTGCTGCTCAGAAGGGCCCTGGTGGCCAGTTACATTACAGCCAATGCTGACAGGGTAACCTTCAGCTCTAAACAGTGGTCCTTTCTGAACTGTTACTTCTCTCTGGCCAATGCTGAGCTTAGCTTGCAAGTAGGAGAAAGAAAGGGGAGTAACAATAGATTAGCGTCTAGTTCCCAATGTACCACATTATGTAGTGCCTTGTATTACAATTCTGGTAAATGAGATAGCAGGTTATTAGCTATAATCAACTCAAATGTTTGACCTCTTCTTCAGGCTGAGCAGCAGTAGAATGTCTGGATGAGATAATTGTTGTTTTATAATTTCAACTTTCATAGTAGTCTCTAATCTTTTAAGGGGGGGGGGGAAGCCTAGCTTTATCAGTGTAACGTGGCCACTTCCGTAAAATATGCCTGCTTATCTTAAAATGGGTGTCCTTATTATAAAGTAAATTCAGTGCATGATAGTTGACCTTTTGTAGGATTTTAAAATTCTGGGAAAATTCAGCATATTCTTCCTCAAGCCTCAAATTCTAAGATACCTATGAAGCTGTTCCTACCAAAATGGTTGCTAGAGAGGCAGTCAATGGCTCTGCCCATGTACCATGATTTTTCTTGGTTGGAATTATTTGTGGCTTTTGGCCAAGTGTGATGCAAGACTTGTTAAAATTAGCATCTGAAGAGATAGCAGTCATTTCCTTTTCATACAGTGGAGGTTGGGGTTTTTGTTTTATAATTTTTTGAAGAGTTACTATAGCTTTACTAAAAAGCTTCATAATAGATTTCTGTAAAATCCAAAGAATCTGGGATCAGAATCTATTTTAGTTTTTCTCTTACCAAAATTTTCACTTGGGACCAAAATAGAAGGTTGTCTGTTGGAACAAATCTCAATTATTAGGTCTAAAGGAGAAAACATGATTAATAGGCAACATTTCATTTGACATACACATTTTTAAAATCAAAACTATAGTTTACTATTATGATTACAATTAAAGGCTAGTTTATTTTATGTTACATAAAGAACAAAGAGTAAGAGAGATGCCACAGGGTAAGCTAGAATTTTCACTAGGGGACTGGTTCTTTTGCCTAGTAGAAAGAGAAGACAGGGTTGAAAGACACACGAAGGATTCAACAGGGAGTGATTGCTGGTGCTACAGAATGAACAGAGTATCTGCTGAATTTTGTAACTCCACAAGGACAATCAGTAAGAAGATAAAGGTGAAAAATACTAAACAAAAAAACCATTGCTGTTGAGTTGATTTCATGGTAACCACAAGTATCTAAAACCATAGGGTTTCCTTGGCTGCAATCTTTATGAAAGCTGACCACCAGGCCTGTCTCCCATGGCACTGATGAGTAGGTTCAAACTATTAACTTTGTGATAGTTGGAGCTGTGTGTCAACTTGGCTGGACCCTAGTTCTGTGTGGTTGTTTCCATGATGGGATCCGATGACTGTGTTCTGAGTGGCCAATCTGTTGAAGGGGAGTTTCCCTAGGGGTGTGGCCTGCTTCCAGGATATCCAGGGACATCCTGGGGGAGAGACATTCTTCTGTGGATCGGGATCCTGTTGTGCTGCCTACAACTGTCTGTGAGTGAGCATTCCACCATTTGGCCTGGAGATCTTGGATTCGTCATTCGTTGGAGTCAACAGCCGGTGTACTGCCTGCCAGCTTTGAGCTTCTCGGCCCCTGCAGGGAAAAGCCTCTAGCCTGATGTTTGCTCCAGGGACTTTGGACTTGCCAGCTTCTATACGTTTGTGAGCCATTTTCCTAAGATAAATTCTTCTCTCTCTTTATATATATATATATATATAAAAGCTTTGTTGGTTTTTGTTTCTCTAGAGAACCCAGTCTAACACAACCTTTAAGTTAGTAAAAATCAAAAACCAAACTCACTGACCTAAAGTCGATTCGACTTATAGCGGCCCCTCCTTGTGTTTCCAAGGCAGTATCTCTACGTAAGTAGATTGCCCAGTCTTCTTTCTGAGGAATGGCTGGTGGATTTGAACCACCAGCCTTCTGGTTAGCAGCCAAATGCTTTAGGCACTACACTACCAGAGCTTGAGTACAAACTGTTTGAGCCACCTAGAGAGACCTTAGAGTGAAAAAACAAGGAAGGGAGAAAAAAAATGATGGTAATAAGACCATGATAAGTCCAAGTATAGGAATTCTGGAATGAAAATAATGCTGAGGGAGAGAAGTGAGCCAACAAAACAAGGGCAGAAAGGGTAAGTGGTCACCTGATCTGGTCAACTAAAAATTGTATATGTGTGTGCTCAATTAAAACTCTCAGCCAATCAATCAGTCATACAAATTTCCAGTAATAATTTAAAATATACTAATTTATTCATAAATCTGAGCTAATGTGATATATTTATAACATGTTCTCTTTATAATAAGTACTTAGAATAGAAGTTAGAACACCTTAGAAAAATTTAAATTATTACCTACCAAAAAGTTACACTACAAAGGCAGTTTAAGACACTTTTCAGCAATGCTGACATTTATCTTAGAGATGTATGTCTTAGAGAAATGCATGCATTCTGCACCAGGCTACATGTGAAAGAATATTCTCAGTAGTACTATTTATTATAGCCCTTAACTAGAGACAACTTATATGTCCATCAATAATAGAATGGACAAACTGAGGTACATTCATAAAATGGGATGTTGTTGTTGTTGTTGTTTTATGTCATCAAGTAGGACCCGACTCATAGCAACCTGCAAAAACGGCCAGGAGGCCACATATTCTGACCTCCTAGAACCCCACAAGAGGAAAACGGGATTACCAGCAGTAACCCAAGGCCTATTCCTGCCAGGCCAGACATGCTACCTCCCTCCAGCCCTTTCTCCAACCGTTCCTCCCAAAGCACCCACCACCTCTCTCCTGGGTTCGATAATTCGCTGCAGTGGCCACACAGAAGTCACAGATTACAGGGTTTATTAGGGAAGCACCAGGCTACGACTCAAGTTCAGGAAGAATGCTCAGTATCTCTCCCAGCCCACCGTCCCTCAGCCAAGTCTCCCACAGTCTCTTTCCCAGGAGTGCTGGTCCCTCGGTGTCTCACTCAGCAATGTGTGTCTCTTTCGGCAGCACATCTTCCTCCACCAGCAGTCAGAGAGAGAGAGTTCTGCCTCCAGGAGGCCTCCTTTTGAGCCCGGCAGGGTGGTCAAACTAGCCAATCACAGCATCAGAACTCTAAGCATATGAGAGAGAGTGGGAACCTCCCAGAGCATTGTATTGTGCACGCCCAACAGAAATAACCCAGGTGGGCGACTTTAAAATCAGGATCTCCTCAGTTGCTAATAGCATTTCCCACCTTGGAGTTTACAAAGACTTATGGGTAGAAAAGCCACACTAAGTAATTTACTACACCGCACGACCCCTCCTTCGGTTTCCAAGGTGGTATCACTATGGAAATAGATTGCCCAACTTTCCTTCTGAGGAGCGGCACCAGCTTTCTAGTTAGCAGTCAAGTGCCTTAGGCACTACTCCACCAGAGCTCCTATAAAATGGAATACCATACAGAAATGAAAATGGATGAATTACAACTATTTTCAACGACAAGGGTGTTTAATTAATCCTTTTGACCATATACAGAATGATTCTACTCCTTATAAAGTTTAAAAACAGACAAAATAGCACCATGTTGTTTAGGGATTTATACATAATGGGATCATAAAGAAAAGTAAAGAAGTGGCCACCATGAAAGTCAGATGATTCTTTTTGTGGAGGGTGGGTTATAATCTGGATGGTACACACTGTGGGGTGGGGATGGGGCAGCATCTACAGTCTTGGCAATGTTCTATTTCTTGACCTGGGTGGTGATTACGTGGGTTTTACTTATTACTTATTTGTTAAACTATACATTTATGTTTTATTTATTTCCTTATGTGTATGTGTTGTATTTCACACAAATGTTTTTGAAAATGTGATTTCTGAGGTACCATTAACCTAACTATATCAGAGCAATGTATTTGTAAGCAATGTTATTTTTGTTGGCTAGGCAACACTTCCCACTACTCATCTGTCAGTTTGTCCTACTGTGGTGGCCTGTGTGTTGCTGTGAGGCTGGAGGCTATGCCACTGGTGTTTCAAATACCAGCAGGGTCACCAATGGTGGACAGGTTTCAGCAGAGCTTCCAGATTAAGACAGACTTGGAAGAAGGAAGGAGCCATTCACTTTTCAAAGAACTGACCAGTGAAAATCTTATGAATAACAGTGAAACAGTCTGATATATTACTGGAAAACTTTATGAATAGCCATGTGAAGCTGGCACAGGACCAAGCAGTGTTTCATTCTGTTGTACACAGGGTCGCTATGAGTTGGAGCCGACTCGACAGCACCTAACAACAACAACAACAACAACAGGCAACACTTATTTTTTTCAACACATTTCAGAGAGATGGATAGCACACTTGAAAATTTTTTTCTGAATGAATTATTGTAAAAACTAGCACTTCATTTCCTACTGCTTTCTTTTCCAATTAATTACAGTCCATCTTCATTATTTGTGGACTTGCAAATTCATCTATTTGATAAAGAGACTCTGGGAATTTTCCCTGTCATTTGCAGATCTGCACATCAACTAACTTCCAGTTGAAGGCAAATGAGGCACTAATTCAGTATTTGCTGGACTTTGTAGCACGTTATTGTGAATAATGAGATTAGACAGTAAATATTTATTCAAACATTTATATTCTTTCTGGCACTTGAGGGACTTTCTCAAGTACCAAGATGAGTTTGGGATCATCTTTGACATCTAGATTTTATAATTAAATTTGGCAGTCATTTCTCTATGAGCCAGATAAAATAAAAGTGTTTTAAGGAGTCTGAAGGAAGGAAAGTTTACATGTGTTTAGGAGGGAAGTAAGCAGAGATGTATGGAAGAGATGACACTTGAGATGGACTTTGGAGGACTGGAAATATGACAGAGAAAGTGAGGAGCCAGGGCCTTTTGGGTGAAGAAGGCTTTATGACAAGGCTTTGTGAGTAGGGAATCAAAGGACTTGTTTAGGAAATATGGGGAAGTCAGTTGGATTGTAGGGAAGGGTCGCATGATGGTTAATATAAGGAAATGAAGAGTGGATAGGAATTTGGGGTCTAGGGCATAAAGGACCTGAA